ATTATCATGATTCTCGTATGTTTTTCATTTTTTTCAATTTTTCAATTTTTTTTATACTATCAAAGCAATCAAAACTAACTATCAAAGCACTAAAATCACACCAAAACAAATACAAAAAAGCTCAGAGAACATACCTAAACTACTATGCACAAACTTCCCCCAAGCTACACTCATCAATGTCCTCATTGCAACGTGTGGGAAGTAGAAAATACCTGAGTCCTCAAGCAAACTCATCATCGCCTCCATCATCATCATCATCACCCTCATTGTCATCACCAGCCGCCCTGCTAGCACCTGCAATGTCAGTCATATCGAGGAAGGTGTACCACGAGGGATGTTTAGCATCCCTCGGGATATAACCTTGCCTGCAAAAGAAATCATATACAGGGTACATAGACTAACGTAGGTCAGTCTCTAGGTTTTGAACACGGGAGGCTAAGTTCTGCTGGTCTAACCTAATCTCCTGCTGGCCTTACCTAAGCTCCTGTATTTCGGCCATGATAGACTCACGGTCGATAGGGATATGGGGAACGGTGGAGGATGAGGATTGACCGCCCTGCTCTCTCCTATGATAGGTCCTAGTAGGTGCAGTAGGAATAGGTGAACCATCAGGGGCCTCGAGAAGGTAGGAAGGGTGGTGAGGGTGGATCCTAGTAAGCTCAAGAGCAGGTAAGGTAATGGACCGCCTGGTGCTCCTATCTAACAGCCAGCTATAGCTAGCGTACTCCACCGATAACCAGCCGGTGGTGGTGAGGTAGTGCTGGTCCAAGGTAATAGGACCCGGCACAGGTCGGTGTTGGGCTTCTACAAAGCCCTCCTTAACCGCTAGGTGAATCACTAAACCACCTAGGACAATTGGGATGTTGGTATGGTCGCCATTGGGTTTGAGGGTGGTAAAGGTAGCCCCTTGTTTCCTAAGATGGAGGGCAAATAGATGAGTTATGTTCATTCTAAAGCCCTCCTCATCATCTCCCAATCTAAGGTAGCTACCTAGAATGGCTATTTCGTCTGCCCTAACATTGTTTGGTTCAATCCTCCCAAAAATTGTCCACCCCAAGGATCTAGTCCACAACCTAAGGGTCGGCTGGTGAATTTTGTGAGCACGGGCATGTTTCATTGAATCTATGTTTTCACCCATCGTTGCTAACCATAGCTCCCCCGAGGTAAAACTATCGGGTTGCACGGTCAATCTCGTGGAGGGGAGGCCAAACTTCCTACCAAAGCCTTCTAAGGTGAGGCGGTGAGACTTTTTCATGAGTCTATACACAACATGGGTAACTAAACCATCTCTACCTTTCACAACATCAAGAAATTAAAAATTCAAGAGTGATATCCTCAAATGTATAATGTATCATGTTAAATAGTTGAGTCATATCAAGTCTAGAAAACAAGTTCCTACATTCAATATCAATGCCTAATTTAGCAAGTAGGGATCGGTCTATGAACCTAGTAGGAATTACCTTCCTATGATGGAGCTCAAGCAACCTTGCTTTTTGATTCGGGAACTCGAGCACGAACCGGATGTTTGGGAATGCCGGAATGCTCTGCAAGTTCAATTGTTGTTGTTGTTGTTGTGCTCTCCTATTTCTCTTTCTTGTAGACATTGAAGCCATTGATGTTTTTGAAGGTTTCTCTCTCTAACTTTGAAAATGGGGTTTTTGGTGAGAAAGGAATTGGGGGTAAGAAAGATGGTTGTGGATGTTAGAAATTGAATAAGGAAATTTAAAGTTTTGATGGAGAATTTGTGAAGAATTGTAGAGATTGAAGGAGGTTAGGGTTGGAGGAATTGGGGATTTTAGAGAGAGAAAGTGTAGAAGATGAATAAAAGTATGAGGAAGAAGAAAGGGAATTTCGGGTTTTAGTGAGCTGAATAGCGCATTTTACCCTCGCACCCGATCAGGCGAGGCTTGCCCGGTCTGATCGGGTGGAGGTAGGCTACTGTGTTTATTGCATTGTTGTTCGCTGAAGTGCTGCTAATTGTCACGCTCGATCGAGTTGGACCTGCCCGGTCTGATTGGGCAACCTTATTCTTTGTTTTTTTTTTTATGAATAACAGCTTGGATATGTACCCCTCGCGCCCGATCGGGCTTGCATTGCCCGGTCGAATCGGGCGGAGAGGGGTTAACTTGCTTTGCCAAAGTACGCAACTAACTCTTTCAGCAAGCTCTCGCGCCCGATCGGGCACCTGCTACCAGGTCTGATCGGGCGGAGAAGGGCTACAATGTTTGCTTGATTCTTCCTCCTTGATCAAACTTCCTCTTCGAAATGTTACTCGTGCCCGATCGGGCATACATTGCCCGGTATGACCGGGCAGCGAGTAAATTGCCTCATTTTCTGCTCTTGACGAATTCTCTCGGTATCTCGCTTTTCTCTTGTATCAATGTTCTCTTAAAAACAACAAAACCAACACAAACACGCCGTAAAAAGACAAAAGGGAAACAAAGATAATAAGAAAATTTATACGAAAAGCGAGTTGCCTCCCGAAAGCGCTTGTTTATAAGGTCTTTAGCTTGACCGTAATGATACTCATTGGCTTGGTGATGGGGAAGAGAGTGTGATGTCCACCCCTTCATGGATAGGGTCAACAACTCGATAATGCTTCACTCTTTGCCCATTAACCTTAAAAGTTTCCCCTTTTGCGTTTTCTAACTCAATAGTGCCGTAGGGATACACCTTCTTGATCATGAATGGACCTGACCATCTAGACTGAAGCTTACCTAGAAACAATCTCAATCTATAATTGAATAGAAGGACTTAATATCCTTCTTTGAACTCTCTCCTCACAAGGTTCTTGTCGTGCCACCTCTTTTTTTTCTCCTTGTATAGTTTTGAACTTTCATAAGCTTCGAGACAGAGCTCATCAAGTTCATTCAGTTGTAACAACCTCTTTTCTCCCGCTGCCATAGCATCGAAATTCAAGATTTTAATGGCCCAAAATGCTTGATGTTCTAGCTCAACGAGCAGGTGGCATGCTTTCCCGTAGACAAGTCTATATGGGGTTGTACCAATTGGCGTTTTGAAGGTCGTTCGGTACGCCCATAGTGCATCATCTATCTTTGCGGACCAATCCTTCCTTGTCCTTGCAACTGTTTTCTCAATGATGGACTTGATCTCTCGATTGGATACCTCAACTTGGCCACTTGTTTGAGGGTGATAGCCAATTGCAAGCCGGTGTTGTACTCTACACTAAAAGGAATGGTGTCCTTCCAACAAGTGTATTATTCTGATAGAGGGTTCAGAATTATTACAGAGCTAATTCTTCAGTAAGGTCAAGTGATCGGAATGCCTGGGTGGAGGCCGCTTCCGATCAGTAATATTTAGGTATAATTAATATTATAACTTAATCTTAACCGAACCCTTCGGGTCGAACCCAATCGAACAACCGATCCGAGACAACAAATTAATCCGAAGGATTTAATTAGTCGTCGGAGTTTTACGAACACAGACGTCGGATATCGAGCCTAGGGCGTCGAGGCCGAGCGTCGCAAAATCACAAGCAACAAGTACGAACATAGCCGTAGCATCACATTGGCCTAGCCATGTGAAGTGCTAGGCTAGGCTACCTCATCGCAAGCCTAGGTGCACCATGTGTGTGCTAGGCGCACAAGGCAGCCAATTACAGCCTCCGCATGGCATGGCTAGGCACTGGCGTGTGTGCGTGCGTGTGCATGCCTAGGGCTGTCGCACCAACCGCAGCACAAGCGTGGCACTGTCGCATGGCTAGGCCATGCATGTATGCGCATGCGTGCAAGCCATCGCAGCATCACAGCACCAAGCTTCGCATGCTTGTGCGTGTGGCTGGTGAGGCGATGCCCAGCATGCATGGCTCGCTAGCAGCACGCATGTTGGGAGTGCGAGGCCATGGGAATGCGAATGCAAGCAAGCGAGAGTGCCAAGCTAGCAGCGCCCAGCGCTGGCACGCGGCAGCAGCAACACGAGCATCGCCCAGCACAGCTCGCACATGCTGGCTGGGGTGATGCGGGCTTGCTAGCTGGTGCTAGCTGGAAGCACTAGCTGGCGTGCTAGCTGGCTGCCAGCCCAGCAAGCATTGGTGCCGGTTTAGTGAGGATGTGGGGACCAACCAAAGCCTTTGGGAGCAAGGCAATGGTCCCCCCTCCCCATGCCTTGAGCCTCACTTATCTCTCTCTAATTGCGCCACTTGTTGCGTTGTGATTGATTTAATTATTTATTTAATATAGAATTAAATAAATTGTTAAATTTACCAACTCTCCCACATTGTTGGGAGAATGAAAATCAAGGGTTCATTTCCCTATAAATACCAAAGTTTGGGTATTTGGGAAAGAACACACTTAAGTGGAAAAGTAAAGGAAACTCCATTGTTGAGTATACCTTGAAATTCGTAAAAATCCAAGTTTATATTTTGTCCGGGCCTTGACTAACTTTCGAGGCTTAAGACGGTCGGGTCGGGTTTGAGGGTACGTTCCCGTTGGAGGCCTCGCATTATCGAGGTTGAAGTAAGAGCTCGGTGCAAGAGCGAAGCACGCGTCGAGGGGTATAATTCTTATCCTTTCTCTTAATTATGTCTTAATTATGTTTTGCTTGTATTAGTTGCATTAATTATGGGAGCGGGTCTTGGGAGGTTTCATTCCGCGTAGTGAGGGTCACTACAAAACCCTACACATACTTCTTTAGCATTGCCTCAAATCGATGCTCCAAGAAATGTGTGCCCCTGTCACTAATCAACACACGTGGGATACCAAATCGTGGGAAAATAGTTTTCTTGAAAAATTTACTTACCACACGAGCATCGTTGGTTGGAGTAGCTATAGCTTCCACCCACTTTGATACTTAATCAACGGCTAGCAAGATGTAACGGTTACCATAGGAAGAAGGAAACGGACCCATGAAGTCTATCCCCCACACGTCAAACAACTCGACCTCGAGTATGTTGTTGAGTGGCATCTCATTCTTCTTTGAAATGTTGCCCGTCCGTTGACATCGATCACATGCTTTGACATAGGAGTATGTATCCTTGAACATTATTGGCCAATAAAATCCACATTGCAAGATCTTTGCAATTGTCTTCGAAGGGCCTGCATGTCCACCACATGGTAAGTCATGGCAATGAAAATAATGTGATTTACCTCGTTTTCTGAAATGCATCTTCGAATCATAGTGTCTGCGCATTTCTTGTACAAGAACAGATCATCCCTAAAATATCTCCTTGCCTCGTGAAGGAATTTCTTCCTTTGTTGAGAGAAGTAGCCATGAGGCATTGTACCTGTGGAAAGGAAATTAGCCAAGTCAGCATACCAAGGTGATTCAGTTTGCAGTGAAGCTAATAGATGTTTGGCAGGGAAAGAATCATCAAAAGGAATATCGTCCCCATCCTCAGGGTCGAGGATAAGGCGGGAGAGATGGTCCGCGACAACATTCTCTGTCTCCTTAATCTCTATATCATAATCCTGCAATTGAAGGATCCACCGAATCAACCGAGGTTTGGCATGGGTTTTGGTCATCAAATATCTAAGTGTTGCATGATCTGTATGAATAATAACTTTTCAACCAACCAAATAAGAATGAAACTTGTCAATTGCATAAATTACAGCTAGCATCTCTTTTTCAGTTGTAGCATAATTCATTTGAGTAGAGCTAAGAGTTTTGCTAGCATAGTAAATAGCATGAAGCTTTTTATCCTTTCTTTGCCCCAAAACGGCTCCTACTGCATAGTTACTAGCATCACACATGATTTCAAACGGCAGGCTCCAATCTGGGGGTTGCATGATAGGAGCATAGATCAAAGCTTCCTTCAACCTGTTGAAAGCCTTAAGATAAGCATCAGTGAAAACAAAAGGAACATCCTTAGCTAAAAGCTCAGTTAGAGGTCGAGCAATTTTCGAAAAATCCTTAATAAAACGACGGTAAAAACCTGCATGGCAAAGGTCAATTCGAACTCCTTTTACAGAATTCGGAGGGGGTAAATGCTCTATGACCTCTATCTTAGCCTTATCAACCTCAATACCCTTATTTGATACAACATGACCTAAGACAATTCCCTGTTGCACTATAAATGGCATTTTTCCCAGTTTAAAATTAAATTGACTTCCTTACATCTATGGAGAACCTTTTTCAGATTTTCAAGGCATACATCGAAAGATGTTCCATAGACAGAAAAATCATCCATAAATACCTCCATAGAATTTTCTATAAGACCGGAAAAAATAGCCATCATACAACGTTGAAAAGCGGCTGGAGCATTGCATAATCCGAATGGCATCCTGCGATATGCAAAGGTGCCATATGGACATGTGAATGTAGTCTTTTCCTGATCACAAGAATGAATAGGAATTTATAAGAAACCAGAATATCCATCAAAATAATAGAAGAAGGAATGCTTTGCCAACCTTTCAAGCATTTGATCAATGAAGGGTAAGGGAAAATGATCCTTCCAGTTGGCCTTATTTAATTTTCTGTAATCTATACACATTCGCCACCCTGTAACAGTCCTAGTGGCAACTGGCTCACCCTTGTCATTCTTGACAACGGTCATACCTCCTTTTTTGGGTACTACTTGTACAGGGCTAACCCACTTACTATCAGAGATAGGGTAGATTATTCCTGGAGCAAGAAATTTTAGAAACTCTTTTTTCACTACCTCCATCATATTGGGATTAAGCCTTCTTTGAGGTTCTATAGAGGAAGCATGGTCGTTCTCAAGAATAATTTTATGCATACAGAAAGAAGGATAAATACCCTTAATATCATCAATGGTGTACCCAATTACACTTTTATACGTTTTTAAAACATTAAGCAATTGCTCCAATTCTGTGTCCTTGAGTTCAGCATTAACAATAACAGAGTATGAATTATTAGGACCAAGATATGCATGTTTCAAATTAGAAGGGAGAGGTTTCAACTCTACCTCGAGAGGCGTAGTACTCTCCCCAATACTCACTACACTAAGTATTTCTCTAATTGGATTAGCGATTGGGTTGGCCTTTGCTTCTTCAAGTAGCCTAACATACTCCCTTGGTTCCCAATCTCCATCATCATACTTCCCTACTAGAATTGTTTCAAGTGCATCATCTGGTTTGCTCAAAGGAAGTTGCTCACTCTGCAACTCATCAAGCACATCTACCTGACAGATAGTTTCTCCCATTGAGGGAGTACCCATAGCATTCAAAAGTGAGTATTCCAATTTTTCATCGCCAACTTCAAAGGTGATCTTACCATTTTTCATGTCTATGATTGCACCTGCAGTAGCTAGGAAAGGTCTACCAAGAATAATAGGGACATTCGCATCTTCCTCCATTTCCATCACAACAAAATCACAAGGAATGAAAAACTTACCTACACGAAGAGGCACATCCTCAAGTACACCCAAAGGAAATTTGACTGACCTGTCTGAAAGTTGCAAGGATATGCGTGTGGGTTTGAGTTCACCCATTTGCAGCTTCTTACAGATGGACAGTGGCATGAGACTCACACTTGCACAAAGACCACATAGTGCCCTGTTAATTTCAATATCTCCAAACTTCACTGGAATTGTATAGCTACCTGGATCACCTAATTTCTTAGGCAGAGTATTCTGCAAAATAGCACTACACTCTACAGTCAAAGCAACTGTAGCATTCTCTTCTAACTTTTTCTTGTTATAAAGCATATCCTTTAAAAATTTAGCATAAGAAGGCATCTTGGATATAGCATCTAAGAACGGAATATTAATATGAAGCTTGTTTAAGATATCAAGAAATTTACCATACTTTTTCTCAAGCTTAGCTTGGGCTAACCTTTGTGGAAAAGGAACCTTAGGCACATATGGAGCAAGAGGTTGTGGAGTTGCTTCCTTTGGTTCCTCCTCGACCTTCGCACTATCGATCACCTTCTCGCCTTCACCCTCTTCTTCAATGACCGCCTTTGATGGCTCCTTGGTAGGAGGATCTTCCAACTGCTTTCCACTCCTTAAAGTAACAACATTCATATGCCCTTTATGTGGTTGCTCTATCTGACCCGGAAAAGTCCCCGGTGTCTTTAAGGATTGACCAACTTGATGAGAAAGTTGGCTTATCTGATTTTCCATGAACTTACTCTCGGCTTGTAACAGTAGTATGGAACTGTTTTGTTGTTGGATGGCAGTACTAGTGTTGGTTGTGGTGATAAAATTCTCCATCATTAGTTCAAGGTTGAATTTTTGAGGAGGTGGTTGCATAGATTGTTGGACTAGAGGTGGCCTTGGTTGGAAAACAGGTGGTGGATTATAGTTGTTGTTTCGAGGTGGTGGTGGAGGTGGATTTTGTTGAGCTTGGGTATTCTTATAGGAAAATTTTGGGTGATTCTTTCAACCTTCATTGTATGTGTTTGAGTGGGGGTCATATGGCCTTTTGGGGTTAGAGGTGTAAAATGCATAAGCTTCCTCAATCGACATCTCATTTGAATTTTGTGGGCAATTGGTTGCAATATGACCTTGCACATTACACAATTGACAAATCTCGGGTGAGCTAGTGGATGTTCCAGCTTGGAACCTATCGAACTTGCTTGTCAATGCTTTCACAAAACTAGTCAAAAGAGTTAAAGCATCAACATCTAATTTACCTCATTTTTTCACACTGTTTCGGCCACCTGGATGATAGTTATCATTGGCCACCATTTTCTCAACTAACTCCTTTGCATCAGTTGGATTCTTTGTCAAGAGAGAACCCCCGGACGCAGCATCAATGTAGATACAGAACTCGTGAGTTAGACCATTGTAGAACGTTTGGATTAACATCCATTCAGGAATACCATGGTGGGGGCATTGCCTCTACAATCGCTTGAATCTCCTCCACGCATCGTATAGGGACTCATCATTGGACTGCTTGAAGGTGGATAATTCGTTTCTCAACCTAGCAGTCTTCTCCTGTCCTAAAAATTTTACTAAGAAGGCTTTCACTAGCTTGTCCCATGTATCGAATGAGCCAGTGCCTTCATCTCACAACCACTCCTTTTTTCCTATCCCTTAATGAGAAAATGAAAAGGCGTAGTCTAATAGCATCATCTGTAACACCATTCATTTTCATTGTATCACATTTCTCCAGAAAACTATCAATATGACTTACCGGATAATCATGTGGTGTGCCTGCAAATGAATCATTAGAGATGAATTGAATGTACTGTGGTTTCAATTCAAAGTGCTGGGCAGTGACAGGTGGTCTGACAATGCTTGAGAGGAGTCTGGTTGTCGTATCAGGAATACCGTACTCCAAAAGATATTTCGTGTCGTCTTCCATATTCCTGTTGTTTTGATTTCTCCTTCTACTTCTACTTCGTCGTCTCCTTATAGTTGCTTCGAATTCAGAATCAAAAGGTGCTAAATCGTCTGACCTTGAACCTCGTGTTTGCATGCAACAAGGAACTAAAAGCAGAGTATCAAAAACACAAGAAACAATAGCCGAAGCAACGAATAAAGCTTAGCAAAAACGAATCACAAATAATCAAATGAAACCGTTAGTCCCCGGCAACGGCGCCAAAATTTGATAGGCGTGTCGCGTACCTAACAAAAATAACCTAACTGGACCACTACTATGTAGACGGACAAGTAAGGATCAAATCCCAAGAGACTAAGGTTCACCAAAATTATCTAGACTCCAATAATCACTAAGCAAGAATCAAATTAATGGTGGAATAAGCTAAGAACTAATGTACGAAAAACTAGAATTAATCAAAAGAATATGATGAATCAATATACTAAACATCCAAGATCAAGTATCACCACAATTACGATCGATGCAATTATTTATCTACCCCTAGCATACAAATCAAATTAACATGGGAAAAGTAAACCCTAATCAATACCAAGGACCTCTCTCGAGTATCAATGGCTTCTCTAACCACAATCAAACCTATTCTCATGGAATCATGCAAATTAGAGACATTAAACACTTTACATCACTTCCCAATCATCAATTCAACTACTCTCGTGATGAAATTCAAACCCTAAATTGATCTACTCAAATCCGTTAAAACCCAACTCTCATTGTGATTAGAACTATGGAATAATAACAATACAAATTATCTCTAATCTAGTATTGGCATAATCACAATCAACTTAGCATAAATAATTGCAATAGTTATTAGAGAATTTAAAGAATCAATTCATGCATCAATCATAATTGGGCTACCCTAGATCTTGGAATATAAAAACTACTCACACATATTGAAATAAGCAATAACAAAAATAATCAGAGAAAACATAATTGAAAACAATAATAATCGAAAGAGAAAGGAATAGAGATGAATACCAATGATGCTTCAATTGAAATAACTCAAAATGTTGATCAACAATAATCAAATCTAATGAAGGAATTAAATTGCTTAAAAGAAATAAACTAGGGTTCTAGAGAGAGAAAATAAAACTTAAGGAATTAATTATTTCTTCTAATGAGGATTACAAAGGGTATTTATACCCTTAATGAAATAAAATCCCGAAAATAAGAAAATTGGTTTCCGCAACACACTGCCCGGTTTAGACCGAGCGAGCACCACCTGATCGGGCAGGTGGTACCTCATTGCACTGCATCTTCTTCGTAGCTTTCTCCTCATCGCCCGATCCAACCGGGCAAGGGCTGCCCAATCGGGCGCGAGGCACACTTGTTGGCTGCCTTGCTCTTGATCTTCGTAGCTTCATAAAACCTTCAACCACCACGCGCCCGGTCCAACCGGGCAATGGGTGCCCGATCGGGCGCGTGGAATAAATGCTCAGCTTTGTCTTAGTTCTTCATAGGATGCAACTCATAGAAGTGCTTCTGTGCCCGGTGCAACCGGGCAAGCATGGCCCAACCGAGCACAGTACATACAGGGTGTTTGCTTGAATTGCTTCTCAGGCTTAGCTCGGTTCTTTATCCTTGTTCACTAACACCTCTATAAACATTCAAAACATGTCCGAATCATCCAAGAAACTTCAAATTCGTGTAAAACTTATAAAAACACATCGAACACACTAGAGAAGAGATTGTTAGCGAGAAACGGCTCTAAAGAGCCTAAAATCATGCAAGAATGTGATGTAAAATCGGGATAAATCTATGTATAAAACGTGTATATCAAGAATCAAGTTGAGCCAAAAATAATTTAAAGAATGATTCTTGAATTAATTTTTGTTTGTGCACTAAAATTGAATTTATTTCAGTTTCACTTGTTTTATTTTCATTATTGCTCAATATTAATACTAAAATCAATTTAGAATTAATTTTTTTTTTGTCACACGCAAAATCGGAATACAATTCCGAGGAACTAGCACATAAAACAAGGCACCAAGCCTCAAGCTCCACCCTCGGCTAGCTAGGTTGCTTGCGTAGCCCACATGTGGCTACCAAGAGAGTGCCCCGTGCGGGTGCATGAGTGTGTGCGAGCAGCAGCACTTGGTGCGACAGTGCGTGCGTGTGGTGCAATGTTGCGACTACTAGGCAGCGCTAGCCCGCACAGCAAGGCTGCGGCCAGCACCAGAATGGGGGCTAGCACGCTGCTATGCTTGTGCAAGCAGCACCCATGCATGGCAGCAGGGCCTTGGTGCCTAGCAAGCCGAGCCTCGTGGCTTGAAGGCTAGGCACTCGCTGTTGAGGGGCTATTATTTTTCAATTTTTTTGCGGTTTTGGTTTAATTAAAACGAGGCTAGGCCTCGGTTTTTCCCGGCACTTGCAAAATAATTTGGCAAAATTTAAGGTCAATCGGCTTAATTAATTTTAATTGGATTAATTTTGATTAAGTTGGATATGTAAGTTAGTGGGAGCATCATTAATCGTTTGAAATATTATTATTACGCTAATTCACATAATCGGATAACAACTTTGACTAGTTTTAATTAGGTGCATTAATTAAATTAACCACCTAAGTTAGTTAATTACCAATTTGAGCGTGTTTTGCATTGTTGCTTGATTTATTTTGTAAAATGCTTGGGCCATTCACTTTTGAAGTGAATGGATGAATGGAATAGATATTATAATGCAGGTTTTACAAAATGACAACTAGTGGGGCCTAACTAGGGTAGTAAATACGGACTGCGTTCCAATTTTATTTTTGTAAATCTAACTACGGATTGCGTGTCGTTTAGTATTTTTGCACCTTACTATTTAGATTAGTCCTAGTCTTATTAGTAGTTGCATAAATGGTGGTGATGTCTCGAAGACGACGTTTCTATGAAGATGAAGCCAAGATGATGCAATGAAGGCCCTTGAAGATTTGAAGATTCAAGTTTCAAGGGGTCATGCTAGTTGTCAAATGCATCTCTATTTATGCCCTATATATTTTTCTTATATATAATTGCGATATTAGATGCATGTTTAGGATTTCAAATGTTGAATGATTAATTCATTCACTTAAATCAACCAACATAGAAACCCTAAGTCCCTATAATATTGAGTTAAAATTTGCCATTCCAAAATGACACTTACCGAACTAATGAGAATAGTAATGGGCTATGCCAAAGCAAGGCATTACTACTTTCCTAGGGACGTAAGGTATACTAGGTATATGCGTTAGTTTTGGTTAAACTAAACGATATCAGTAAGGAGGCTTGAGATGTCGTGGCAATGGAGATAAACGCCAAAAAAGCATTAGATGCGACGTATTATTAAACCAAGAGTAGCTTAGAGCTATTAGCAATTGGATTGCTTACCTTTAAATATTAAGTGCTAAGACAAGCTAAAGCATGCTTAATCACTTTTTGATTTTTAGGGTCTTGGAATCGTTTTATTCTCGCCTACAAGGTTCAATTTTAAATGTGTTGATAAAACGCTTAATGAGATTGAAAGATTGCATTTCAAACTTATTGGTTTTATGAATGGTTTTTCATTGCATTCTTTCAATTGTAAAAAAAATGTCTGCAATTAACAACAACAACATGTGCCCGGAACTCCCTGGCAAGTTGGCTTATAGCCTAAAATTGGTCAATTTCAAGGAATGGGAAGAGGAACTCCGGAAAACTCTACCAAATTGTTCCATGGAGTGCATTTTGGATACTCCCATTCCAAGCTTCTACTCGAAGGGAATCATGAGTGATGAAACTTATGATGCATGGTCTTTCAATTGCACAAAAGTGTCACGACTAATGGCTAATTCCATCCTGGAGGAATGGAAGAAAAAGTTATCCTCCTATTTTCCAGACATGTTCCTCTAAGCCCTTGAGGACATTGTCAATGT